TATCGGCTCATCATGAGCAAGCTCAGGCCCTGGGCCCCACCTCTAACGTCGAGCATGGACCCTGAGACGCTGGACAGAGTGCTGGAGACCCTGTTCCCCTCGATGAGGGAGGACTTCGAGGCACCGAGCATGGTGGTAGCGCCAGCGACGTCAAATCGTGATGCGGACGGGGAAGTCCCGGAAGTGGAGGAGAGGGAACTGTGGGCGGCTGTGGCACGGCTTCAGGCCAAAAACACCGCCCCAGGCCCCGACGGGATCCCCGGACGCATATGGGTCCTGGCGCTACGGAACGGAGTGGACAGCAGGTTCCGAGATCTACTCTCTCGGTGCCTTAAGGACCATACTTTCCCAGGTGACTGGAAGACGGGGAAACTCGTACTGATTGGAAAGGCGGGAAGACAGGCAGATTCGCCCTCGGCGTACCGCCCGATCGTCTTGCTCGGGGAGGCGGGGAAGCTTTTTGAGCGCGTTATTGCGACTCGTCTCTCCGAGCATCTCGACCGAGTAGGGCCGAATCTGGCAGACTGTCAATACGGTTTCCGGCGCGGTCGCTCTACCATCGATGCTATTGCACGGGTGAGGGCCGTCGCCGAAGAGGAGGTCTTGACGGGCGGCGTGGTGTTGGCGGTATCTTTAGATATCGCCAACGCTTTTAACACGCTGCCTCACGCTTGTATAATGGAGGCCCTGCGGTTTCATGGGGTCCCATTATACTTGCGTGAGACGATCAAGGCCTACCTAACGGACAGGACAGTGGTATATCCCACAACTACCGGATTTGGACAGAGGAGAGTGTCGTGCGGCGTTCCACAAGGTTCCGTTTTAGGGCCACTATTGTGGAACGTCGGTTACGACTGGGTCCTGCGTGGCCCGACTCTCGGCGGCGTTAGTGTCGTCTGCTATGCGGACGACACACTGGTGTTGGCAAGGGGCGGTAACTATCGGGAAGCGAGTGTGGTAGCTACCGCCGGAGTAGCCCAAATAGTGGGCAGGATCCGGAGACTGGGCCTGACGGTGGCCTTGGAAAAATCCGAGGCCCTGTGTTTCCACAGGCCTCGCCGAGCGCCACCGCCAAACGCCCACTTGATTGTGAGCGGAGTTTCCATCGGCGT